CGGATCCGAGGCCCGCGCCCACTTCATAAGCCACACCGAGCGCTCCCCCATTGGCCGGGGCCGTTCCACCCATGCATCTGCACCATGCATTCTCCGCACCGCCTGATCTCTGCACCTTTGTTAGCGCCATGCAAACGCAGATTGACCACGTTCTCCCCGCGCCTGCGCCACGTCGATGTCGCAACGAAGTGCCACCCAAATTCACTCTGCGGAGGAGCGGGAGAATCGCCAAGGCTGATCGTGGCTTGGACTCTGAAATGAAGGCCAAGCGCGTGCTTCTCCGACGCCTAGGCCTACTCAAAGATGATGCCCCGATGGACGATGCCACTCTCTCCAAATGCGCGGCCCTGTTTGACCGTCCGCTGGCCGCAGATATCCTCCAGGCCTTTGCTGACTTCTACGGTTGGCGCATTCCATCCGCGGAGTGCAACTCTTCCCCGCAGTGCACCGGAAGCCCCCGCCTCATGGAGATCTGATCGGCCTGGCCCATGTGCATGTACCCTGCACCGCCCCCACTTCTTATGGATGAAAACCTAAAGATCATTTTTTGGAACGTCAGAGGCCTAAACTCTCGTGCTAAACGTACTGCAGTCCATAGCGTTATTTCCTCGACTGCCCCTTGCATCGTCTGTCTCCAGGAAACGAAGCTTGCTAACATCTCTGACTCCCTGGTGTTGGAAACCCTGGGCGCCCCCTTCCTCGACTTCTTTTTCCTCCCCGCTGATGGCACTCGCGGCAGCTTCTTGCTTGCTTGGTGCTGCAACATGATCTCGCTATCGAGGCCAACCATTGGTGACCATCACGTCTCGGCCCTTGTCTCCCCCCTTGTCGAGGATCAGCATTGGTGGTTGACTGGTGTCTACGGCCCGTAGGGCGATGCCGAGAAAATTGCCTTTCTTGGCGAGGTGCAAGAGTTCCGAGACATGTGCGCCGGCCCCTGGCTTGTTGGAGGCGACTTTAACATGATCACCTCCGCAGCCGACAAGAACAACGACAGGCTCAACCACCACATCATCTGTCGATTTCGCCGCGTCATCGCTGACCTTGAGCTTCGCGACATCTACCTCCACGGCCGTTGATATACTTGGTCCAACGAGCAGACGAATCCCACCCTCGTCCGCAATGATCGCGTGCTCTGCAGCTTGAGCTGGGACATTGCACAGCCTCAGTGTCTTCTGCGCTGTCTCGCCTCGGCCTGAGCATTTCTGGCCGAAGCTCGACGGCTACCTAGACATGGTTTCTGATGCTTGGAACTCCACCCCCACCCCACCCCCCCGCACCCGACCCGTTCCGGCGCCTATATGCTCGCCTCAAGGTTACCGCCAGGTGCCTGCGGAGCTGGGGCACGAAATCCCTGGGAGGCATCGCTCTGCAGCTGACGATCGCTCGTGAGCTGGTCGCACGCTTCGACGAGGCGCAGGACCGGCGCCCGCTCACGCCACCAGAGGCTTGGCTGCGGCGTCGCCTGAAATGTGCCTACCTTGGCCTTGCCTCTCTTGACCGGACGATCTCGCGCCAACGTTCTAGATTTTCCTGGCTGCGCAATGGTGAAACCTGTTCGGCTTTTCTCCGGGTTCAGGCCTCTCGACGTCTCCACAAGAAAAGGATCCTCAATCTTCAGCACAACGGACAGCTCCTCCTAGACGATGAGGCCATGGCCGCAGCGGCCTTCTCCCACTTCACGCAGCTGCTTGGCTCCACGGATGAGCGCGACTTCACCCTCGACCTTGACATGCTCGGTGTGCCCGCTTCTGACCTCTCTGGCCTCGATGCGCCATTTACCGAGGACGAAATTTGGACCGCGATCAAGCTGCTCCCCCATGGAAAGGCGCCCGGGCCCGATGGATTCACCGCTGAGTTCTTATGCTCTGCATGTCCTGTGATCAAAAAGGACATTTGCGAGGCATTTGACAAACTTTATGCTCTCAATGGCATTGGTTTTGGAAAACTCAACGAGGCGTTGATCACATTGCTGCCCAAGAAGCCAGACACGTCCTCGCTCGCCAATTATAGGCCGATCAGCCTCATCCACCTCCTGGCGAAGCTTTTCACCAAAGTGCTCTCCCTTCGCCTGGCTCCTAGGCTGCCCGAGCTTGTCTCTGTCAATCAGAGCGCATTCATCGTCGGAAGATGCATCCACGACAACTTTCTCCTGGTCCAGCAAACTGCCAAGCACCTCCACAGCCCCAAGCTCCCGCGAGTTCTGCTCAAGCTCGACATTGCCCGCGCTTTCGATTCGGTTTCCTGGCCATTCCTCCTCCAAGTCTTGCGCCACCGTGGATTCGGCCCACACTGGCGAGAATGGATCTCCATCTTGCTCTCCACCGCGAGCACCAGCGTCCTCGTCAATGGATCGCCTGGGCCACCTATCAGGCATGCCAAGGGATTGCGTCAGGGTGACCCGGTGTCACCCTTACTATTCACCATCGTGATCGACGTGCTCAACTCTGTTATTTTGCGTGCGGTCCAAACTGGAATTCTACAATGGCTCACCCCCAACCACATGGCCTCGAGTATATCTCTCTACGCCGACGACGTGGTGGTCTTCTATCACCCAGACCGGCACGACCTCGCCACGCTCCGGGAGCTGTTGTCCGTGTTTGGCGGCCCCTCCGGCCTATGCACCAACTTCGACAAGTGTTCTGCAACTCCCATCCAATGCTCTCCTGCTCACGAGGCGACCATAGGGCTTGAGCTGGACTGCCCGGTCAAGCACTTCCCCATCACCTACCTTGGACTGTCGTTGTCGGTCCGAAGGATCCACTCCTCTCACCTCATGTCGTTGGTGGACCGGATGCGCAAGAAGCTGTCCACCTGGAGGGCATCCTTGCTATCTCGCGGTGAGCGGCTCGCCCTGGTTCGGCATGTGCTCTATGCCATGCCTGGGCATCTGCTCGCGGCTATTGCCCTCAACGCCCACGTGCTCAAATTGGTCAACCGTCTCATCCGTGAGTTCTTATGGCACTGCAGGAAAGATTCCACTTCTGGACACTACGCGATTAACTGGCGCCGCGTCTACATGCCCCTGCAGCTCGGCGGCCTCGGCATCCATGACCTGCATCGTACTGGGGTCTCCCTCTGCACTCGCTGGCTCTGGCTTCAAGCCACGGACCAGACGCGCCCCTGGAGCCATCTTCCTCTCCCTACCGACCCCGAGACGCAGGCCATTTTCCATGCTTCCACCCGTTGGGAACTTGGCGATGGTCGCACTTGCAAATTCTGGACCGACCATTGGGTTCATGGCCAGTCCATCGCCGAGATCGTGCCGGCTATCTGTGCTATGGTGCCCAAGCAACGCTGTCAACGTCGCCTCGTGGCCAAGGGACTCCAGGACCAAGCTTGGGTTCAGGACATCGTTGGCGCCTTGGGCCCCCTGGCGACTGTTCAGTACATCGATCTATGGAGGCATCTTCTCTGTTATCAACCTCCGGGCATCCCGACATTCTTCGATGGCGGTGGACAGTGAATGGCACATACTCTACAAAAACCTGCTGCGACGCTCTCTTCCTCGGCTCTATCTCATCCCCGCATGCCACACTCACCTTGAAGACTTGGGCCCCTCTTAGCGTCAAGTTCTTCATATGGCTGGCCTTGCAAGACCGGTGCTGGACAAATGAGAGACTCGCACGCCACACACAGCCACGCTTGTGCATTCTGCGATCAGGCCACAGAATCCATGCAGCACCTCTTGATCGGTTGCTCCTTCTCTCGCATGGTGTGGCATGATGTATTCTCCAGGCTACGGCTTACCAGCATCATACCTCGCGGCCATGAGCCCTTCTTCGACTGGTGGCAGGCATCCACGTCCTTTGCCCTGACTTCCCATCGAAAAGGCACGGCCTCCCTTGTGATCATCGTCGCCTGGACCCTCTGGAAACATAGGAATGTTTGCACATTTGACGGCATCCGCCCATCAGTGACCGAGGCCTCTCGTGCCGCTCTGGCCGAGGCAGCCATGTGGGCCACGGCTGGCGCAAAAAGGATTGCGCTCCTTCATTTCTGAACCACCTTGATCGAACCTTGTAACCATAATTTTGCGTAGGTCTGGCCACGGGTGTGTTGCTCGACCAAGCGCGTATAAACTCTTCTCTCTATCAATGAAATGATACACTCTATGCGTATTCGAGAGGGGATCCCAAACACGTATACGTCCTTGTGTCCTCCATTGCGCCTCGATAGATCAAGCTCCGTTCATACTTCTATCTTAATGTCAGATTTAGCACCATGTCATATAGTTTACATTTTATAAGTTAAATTGATGGTCAAACTTTTACCCAAAAATAATTGGGAGTCTAATAAACCTGGACGGAAAGAGTATGATTGATTTGCCACAAAAGTATATCATTGATTTTTTTTCTTCTAAACATTGTGATTTGTATTTGAAAAATGATTTCCACCACATAATTTATGTGACATATGGTTTATATTTTATTATCTATTTTTTACACTGAGTACAAGGGAGACTAACATGAGAGTAAGTGGATGGGCTCATAGCCCAGTCGTGGTGGCGTTGTGGTTTCGCCGAGCCGACCTGAGTTTAACCCCTCTTAGGTCGAATTCTGTGTCTCACATTCTCTCTCCGCGGTTGGTCTAATTTTTTAAGAGGAGAGTAACAATTTGGCCTTCAGTGCCACAGATCATTCCAGGGTGCCCTGCATGGACGTGACCGAGGGCGAGATGAGCGTGCCGCTGCCCTGCCACCGCCGCAAAACTAGCCGTTGGAATCAGCGGCCTGGTTGCTGCCATACCCGGCCGCACCGCAACGCTGTTGCGATGAATTGCAACGGCTGAATCAATCCAATCGAACAGCTAGCGATAGCCTGCAACCCCAACCCCAACGGTCACTAGGCTCGAATCACCGGTCCCTTCCCACCTTTAAATAACCGCCCTCTCGCCGTCTCGATTCCCCAATTCTCCCCTCCAAACCCTCCCGACCTCTCCACCCTCCCACTGATCCGATCCGCTCCTCTCCTCGACCCATCCCCCGCACGGAACGAGCGATGGCGAGGGGCGAGAACAGCGAGTCGCACGGCAGCGGCAACGTCCCGGCGGCCCCCGCACCAGGGGCAGCGTCAGCGTCCTCGGGGAAGCAGGCGCCGGCGGCTGCGCGTGGCGCGGACGGGCAGTCGGTGGTGCGGCGGCTGCAGTCGGAGCTGATGGCGCTGATGATGGGCGGCGACCCCGGGGTGTCGGCGTTCCCGGAGGGGGACAACATCTTCCAGTGGGTCGGCACCATCGACGGATCCGCCGCCACCGCGTACGAGGGCACCTCCTACCGCCTCGCGCTCGCCTTCCCCAGCGACTACCCCTACAAGCCGCCCAAGGTGCGGTTCGAGACCCCCTGCTTCCACCCCAACGTCGATAACCACGGCAACATCTGCCTCGACATCCTCCAGGACAAGTGGTCCTCCGCCTACGACGTCCGCACCATCCTCCTCTCCATCCAGAGCCTGCTCGGAGGTACGCTTCTCACTCCTTCCTCTCTCGTCCCGTCAGATCTGTCCCTACTTGTTGTCTTGTGTGGTCTGATCTGATCTGTGATTCATTATTGGGACGCAGAGCCGAACAACGACTCCCCCCTGAACACACAGGCGGCCGCGCTCTGGGCGAATCAAGAAGGTAAACCCCCCTCGTTCTCGGAACCTCCCATGTTGATTGATCATCAACCTGTTCTTGGTTAATCTGCATGCTCCGTTCTCCTTGTGTGCGCAGAGTTCAGGAAGATGGTGGAGAAGCTCTACAAGCCGGCGTAAAGAGGAACAAGAAGGCGGGATCTATTGGAATGGCGGCTCCACATTGGCGTCGATTGATCGAATCTGTTGTTGGATAGATTCTGGAGTGTTGTTTCTCATGTTGGCGTCGATTGATCCAACAGTTGGAGCTTCGATTGCTCGGTGGGTTTAGCAAACCTGTTGTTTCTCATGTCATGCTGTTCTCCCATCGCTGAGATGGGCATATACTTCACTGAAATAATCAGGTGTTCGATAGATTTTCAACTGTTGGATACTTGCGACATGTAACTGATTCGAGTTTCTTTTTTGGTTGGCATGTTCGAAACTGAAAAAACGTGGTTGGTTTCATGCCAAACTGTTTAAACCGAGAGCAACCCTTATATACGACAACAACAAAACATGTAAAAACAGTCACAGTGGTTAAGTTAGGCCGTCCTCCCAAAACTCTCTGCAAATTTAAGCAAAGCATTTGTAATAGGACATTAGGACCAAGGTATAAAAAGTGGAGTTTGTTAGGTTGTGATAGGCCTGCCTAGGTATAAAAAGTAGAGGTTGTCAAGAAAGAGTCTATTCAAACCAGGGGTGCAGCAATTGACACGAAGCGACAGCAAGCATTCTTCTGCCAAAAGTCGATAATATTAAGTAATCGGCCTTTCTGATGACACTCCATATCCGCTGAAATTCACCAGGCACATTCTCATGCAATTTGATTCCTTCCTCCAGGGTATAATGCTAGGCCGGCGGTACAAGCTGCAGTGGTGGTCAGCAACGTGCAAGACAAGCCTGACGACTGAACCGAGAGACGCAAATAGGAACCTGAATTAAAGCGGTAGTTCGGTCATAAGTTTTGTTGGTGTATTCTGAAAAAACATCAAACTGCAGGCAAAAGTTGTGGCGAATGATTAATTATACAATAAAAACGAGGACGAACCCTCCAAGCGCTTGGAAACTTGGTGCAAATCATCCAATCTCCCCAGCAAACTCCATCCACTTTAAAGCGATTTTCTCCAGGGTGCCTAGCGAAGAGTATTTGTCGCCATTGGGTTGCTCTAACCACACAAGGGTGAAATTATAACCTACAATAGCTTGAAGATCTCAGTTAAGATTGCGTTAGCACCTTTGACAAACAATTCTATCATTATGATAAACAGCGCAAAATGAAACATCAACTGATGCAAAATCATATGGAAGGTACTTCCTTGTTGACAAACAAAGGCACATGTCGGATCAGCATCTTTAATGCCAGAATATAAGCAAATGCTGTGATAGAAAGAGAGGTCACATGCAACAGATAAGAGGTAACATGCCACTCCAACATACTACTATATCTATTACTAATTGACAGGAACATAGCCTCAACATGTGAACAAGTATAAGAATATTATATAGATTTACTCCACGATCATCAAAATTTCATAGCCATAATTACGACATGTGCTGGTAACAACAACTAAGGGACAGAAATCTGTTCTGATAAGTCCATTCTCTAACATCGCCATTGTCTGTCACCGTGACAATATTGCGCACATGGTCCTACATTTAATAAAGTCCACACAAGTATAAAACTGTTTAAAATGCAAGGCCATATCAAGGAGGGACTATGATACAAAAAGTTTCTTGCTAGAACGCAAGATGACACTGAATGTGTATTTAGGTACCACATTTTGCAGTTTAAAGAGCCACTTTTCAAGTTACAGAGGCAGCCACTCTAAACATAACTGCTCCCCAGATATCCCAGCTTGCCCAGTTACATATAAAATCACATGCATGGATGTAAATATCAAGGCCAAAATGTAAAATGCAAACCATAAATAACTGTAGTGTCACATATATTTTACAAATGTTCTGTAGCAAATTAAACAACGTTAGAACTGGTGTTTGCATGTACCACTAGCTTCATGATAGATTGGAAGTGAGAATCCTTCTATTTCATTCTTCAGTGAAAATTACTAAAGATTCAACCAGCATATGATACACACAGTTACAAGAACTTTCATCTGCCCCATTGCCTGAAAGCAACAGACTTACAAGTCAAACCAATTTACAGGCATGAGAAGAAATACAAACTGCAATCCACTTGTACATTATCACTAACCTGAGGTGCGAACACCTCTTCTACAGCAGTCCTGCTACAGAATCAATGCAAGCCATAAAAATGGCTTAGCAAACAATATAAAGCTCAAAATAATCATTAATCCTTGCATACTTCTACACTGCCAGCAAAGTGGTTGGGCTGTTTCAACAACTTGCCTCTCTAGCTTCATCCTGAAAGCTACCATGGTGGACAATGGCATTCACACTGGACTGTACTGTATTCGTTCTGTTTGACACCGGTGTTCTTGCAGGTGAACCTGGAGTTTGCTTCTGTATGACTTCAGTTATTGTCTCAGGAGACACTAGAGCTGCATAGTTATTTGTATCATTCTTCTCAGCCAACAGATGCTTAAAAAAGGGCAACCTGGTGCATGTAGCTCCCGCTTGCGCAGGGTCCAGGGAAGGGTCCGACCACTTTGGGTCTATAGTACGCAGCCTTTCCCTACATTTCTGTAAGAGGCTGTTTCCAGGACTTGAACCCATGACCTCATGGTCACAAGGCAGCAGCTTTACCACTGCGCCAAGGCTCCCCTTCAGCCAACAGATGCTTAAGCCTCAAAATTTCTGTTTCAAACTCCTTTGCTGCATAAGCAAAGCAGAATAGAGTAAATAAAATTGCAGCTAAATCAACTTGGTTATCACCAAAAAGAATGGGAAATAGAAATAGAATTGTTGGCAATCTACAAGGTATAGGTGAATTTACAGAGGACTGCTGTGCCTCATAATGTGTCAATTTTTTTCAAGAAACAAGTAGGGTGTTATTACTCTTGTATACCTGATTAACCAGGTATAAAATAGCCATGATTTTTTACAGTAAAATAACCATGAATTACATTACCGTGTTGAGGCTTTTGTGTGTTTGCAATATACTTCCTCTGTTCCAAAATAATTGAAGTTCTATGTTTGTCCTAAGTCAAACTTGTTTAAGTTTGACCACGTCTATAGAAAAATATATTAACATCCAGAACACCAGATTAGTCTCATGAGATTCTTTATAAAATATATTTCCATACTATGTGTATTTGGGGTTGCAGATCATAACACATTTTTCCTATAGAGTTGGTCAAAGTTAAACAAGTTTGACTTAGGACAAACCTAAAACTTCAATAATATTGCAACGCAGGGCGTAGTAATAAAGCACTAGAAAATGTAAAAATGTTGGGTAAGCACTTAATGTTCATTAGAACTAAACAGAATGTGAAACATATTTTGGACCGTGGTAGAGATATGCAGATAAATGCAAAACAATCAGCTCTCCAAACACCACACTACAGAAGTAGAAAATAACATGATGCAAGTAGGTTTGTTGAGAAATTTTCACTTGCATAAAGGATACAATAACCATTTAATCAAATCCTAAACTTTCAGAGACATAATTGTAAAATTGAGTAACTGATTCAAGCTAGTAAGACGCGGTCAGTATCACAGCCCAGTACAGTTGGCAGTTGACAAACATCAAATGTGAATTTTCCACAACCAGCTGCACCCGCACCTCACTTATAGAACATGTACCTTGAATTTCCAATATATGCGGGGAAAAAATCATGGTTGTAATATGCTATAACATGTGCACTTGCTAAAAGTTGTTCAAAATTATGAAAGATTGTAAAAAAAAGACAAAGAGATGAAGGACCAGCGTAGCAAACTATATGCGCACAAGTTTCTGTCTTACTCAAGAGAACAGTTCGCAAATGGTCATGCTTTTGCATGTGCACATTTTCTGTCATGTTGCTCATCTATGATTTTTTTTACATCTTTTTTTGGCTGCAAAAGTGTACTTTTGCAATAGGGCGTGACCACAACTATTTGTTCTCAGAGTGCTACATTTTTGAATGATGTTGCAATTTGATACAACAATATCCAATTAGAATATATTACTATAATAGTGAGAACTATCACAATAACTGTTCAATTTGTTGACTAATATCATGTGATGTGTCTTGATTGTTGCCAATCTTCCAACCCACTATTCCAAGCATAAATATATATCATATAAAGGGGAATCAGCTGAGACAATCAGTGCTTTCGGTGTTCACTTTCTACAATAAACTAAACATCAAAGGAATGTGGTAACCAACAAATTAAGAATAAAAAATCTACTCAAATAATTAAGCCTGATCTATAGAAAGGTCACAGCCTGGAGAAGTAGTTGCTTACACCATTCAAATTCTTAGATGTCAAAACTATTCAAATACTAAGATATGTGAGTTCCCTGAAATTCAGATTATAACAAAGATAAGTTGCTCTGAGGCGACATTACTGCTCTCCATTTCAAGAAGACGTGTGTTAGTCCCCACACATGCATGATTTACGCTAGCACACCACCAATGTCCATTCTCTAGACTTCCAGGCATTAACTTGGACCAAATGGGAAAAGGAGAATAACTCGAAATTAGACAAGGGAAAACTCACTGTCAACCAGAAGTGTCCGGGCCTCAAGCTGCTGCTCCCTGTCAGCTAGAAGTGTCTGGGTCTTCGTAAGCTGACGCTCCCTGTCAACTAAAAGTGTCCGCGTCACCGCAAGCTGCCGGTCCTTGTCGAGCCTGGCATAAAAGAAACAACAACAAGAGCAGAACCAGCGTCTCAGCCGTCATTTCCGGCGAAATAAAAGCGAACCCAAATCAACACGCACAACACAAGCATTCGATCTTACAGCTCGCCGCGGAGCCGGTTGTTGTCGTCCCGGAGGTTCTTGACCTTGCTTTCCATCTCCTTCAGGGCTGCATTATCCAAATCACAAAATGTGAAAAAAAAAATCTCCGGCTGAGAAGGACGGAATCCGCTCAGTTTTACCTTGGCACATCTCCTTGATAGTGTTAAACATACATGTGTCACGGCGACTATTGCTTGGTAGCCAAGACTTTGGAGTAGTTAGGAGATCTCTAGTTGTTAGCATAGTTATCATTTAACTTGATATTCTCCTTATC